CCCCTTTCGGGAGGGTCACGACGTCCTTGTGCGAGTTCGAGGCCCCGGAGAGCACCGTGACTTTCATTGGGAAGAGGAAGAAAGAGGGGGGGGGAGGGGGTCCTCGTGGGGTTGGCTGGGGTTGACTTGGTTTTGCGTGGTAGGCTGATTAGAAAAGGAGGGGAGAAGGTGGGATTATGGAATGCGGTCCGGCGGGTCGTGCTGCGTCCCACCCGTTCCAACAGAAATCAACAAAAAGACATAGACTATACGCCCAACAGTAAAATAGGGGGAAAACACTAAATAAGCTATTACGGTATCGGAAGGTCGACGGTCGGTTCGCTGTCAGGGCTTTCCCCAAGCGGATGCACAGGAACCGGCTGTCTCCTTCTTTTTTTCCTCAGATTGTGGATTATTTCGTACCGTATTCATAAGGTGATCGGTACGGATACATTTCCAAAAAATAATAATAGGATAGACGTATACACATTTAGTGGAGATAAAGTAGAATTTTACATCGTTATCAATCAATACTATTATTCTCCACGTTCAATATTTGCTTCACAAAGGGGTTAGCCCCTCTTTGATATTTTCCACTCATTTTATTTATAGATCCTCGTTCATATAATCTTCGTAGGGATCTTTCTCTTTACGCAATAATCTGGGTTTGCCTACTCGAAAACGACCAAACACCTGCAGGCCTGAAGGGTCGTCAATGAACCCCTTCGGCGCTCCCCCTCCTGGCGACTCCACCCATCGAAAATATGCAATTCGCGAGTAGTTCTTCCCCTCCCATGGCTTATTTTCAAAATTTTGCTCCGCTAAATAGATAATCCTCGGTGGAATCATACGATCGAGCATCTCTTTGAAGTTCTTAGCCCCACCGGCCCCCTCGATATCGTTTTCAACACCCACGATCACCGCAAGGTGCCCGTCGTTGAGTTCAAGCTTGGGTGCATTATTGTAGATAACGATATCGCCCACCCGCGGCCGAAGATATACTAGTTCATCTTGCGTATTCCCTTTCCGATGGTTCGCAATGAATTCCGCATCCCACTCCTGTGAACCCCGCGCGGGGTTGTAAAAGTACGCATTCTGCGCGAAGTCGTTGATATTTCGACCCTTTATTAGCATCAACCCGCGATTATGTGCGAACCAACGCATCACAAAATCCATCGCAACATAGCGATTTGCCGTCATGAACTTCCGCTGCGTGGTGGAATCTTTAGGCTCGCTTACATCCATCGGATTATTAAAATCAAAATAGGAAGCCCACTGAACCTTCAATCCGCGGCGGCAGTTGCTGAAGGCGGGGGTGTTATTCGCAATCCCAAGAAGCGTCCCGAAGGGGGTCGTGCACTCCGATGGCTCCGCGAAGGATTCGCGCGGGCGTAGTTGATGGACCTTCGGCGATGTTTGCTTGCTCATGTAAACATACACGCCTGCACCATATAAGAGAATTATTCCCAAGAATACTAGAAAAAAGCCTGCAGACTTCATGTTCGCAAAAATATTTATTCTTCAATGGATGTGTCTTTATTTAAATGTGTCTCAATTGCATTTCCAATGACAAAGACAAGGGATATAATAATAATAAAAGTATTCATGCAAGTATAGAACTCTACAAACTGTTCTGGAAATCAATAGAGAAATCCATATACCTAATCATCGATCCATTCACGCATGTCAAAATACGGCTCTTCTTCTCTGCGCTTCCTTTCGTTTTCGTATCAATAAATACACTTACAATCGCAGCCTTTAGGACAGCAGTTCACCTTTGGATTCCGCCAAAAGGCTTGGATATGCTCCACATGCCCGCCATGCCCACACCGCGCGCATTGCACTACCAAACAACCCTCCACGGAGGGGCCCCCGCGAGGCTTCATGTCCACCTTTTCCGTTTGGGTTTCCTCCCCGTTATCCGGCAGGCGATGACAGCTTTGAAGGGGTAAATCACACATCGCGCAGTTGTAAATCGGCGCATGTCGAACGCAGCTGCAGCGCGGGATCGTCGGCGAATCCATCGTGAAGTGTGAGCCCCATCCGCTTCCGATGATTCGCATGCCGCCTTCGATTCTGAGTTCGCGTATTCGGCGCAGGATTTCTTTCCTTTCTTCCCGCTCCAACGCCCGCCGCACTCTACCGGCCTCGCACATCTGCGTTTGGCAATCGGCCAGATGAAAGACGCGCTCCACAAGCGCTACCACCGCCGTACATTCTTTGGAATCGCACAAAAAAGAGGTCATCGCGGGGGCGCCTCCCCCTTTAACTATATGGCTATTAATACTTTTATTTTTATCCACCCCTAAGGTTGATGGGAGCAGCAGGCAGCAGACGGCGACGCCGGCCCAGAAGGGTTGGCGGGCTTTTTGCAGGGCACGCACCGTACGCACCAAGACGGGAACCAGCACCTCGCGAAAGTACGTATGAATGACACTATTCCCACCAGGATTGCTGTCGTCAGGAATAAAGCCATCCCCGGGGGCATTCCCAATCGGGATATCGCGGGAGAGTTGGTAGAGCACGCTCAGAAGGTTCGCCACCTTTGGCAGCCTGAGGTGCCTGCAGAGCTTCGCGTTCGCGCGCAGGGCGACGGCGGCGGTGTGCATTAAGCCGCTAATATTATTTTCACTACTACTACTACTACTACCCGCATTGCTAGGATAGAGATGAATATCCCGCCATCGACAACGTTGGCCTTTCGCGCGAAGGACTAAACTGGGAAGAAGCAAGGAAGGCAGGCGCTTGCCCGAGGGAAAGACGGTGGTGAACAAAATGCGCGTGTGGAGGCCCCTTGCGGCGTTGTTGAAGGCCGGAACAGGGGTCGTATTCGTCAGTTTTTCTTCCTCCTCCGAGGGGGTGCCGGCGTAGAAGGACTCGAAATGGTCCGCCTTTTCGTCCTTTTCGCTGACTTTCGCCGCACACATCCAGGCCATTATCCCGCCCTGGGGGAGGAGAACCGCAGCGAAGCGTCGTTTGCCGCGTCGGAAAGCCCCGTTGGCGTCGGCGGAAGGGGGCGAAGGGGGGAAGGCGATGGCCACGACCGACGGCGAGGGCATCGTGGACGGCGTCCTCGCCCCCTCCCCGGCGCGATCCCGCCCGCGCGTCGCCGTATTGGACGTCAAAGGGGACAAAATCGAGTTCAAACGCCCCACCCCTGCCCCGGCTTCAGTATTATTGTGAAGCCCCCCTGTTTTGGAATTGCCCCCGCCGTTCGGACCCCGCGCGGGCTGCCCCCACCCCAGCCCGCCCTCCAGCAGGGTGATGTCGTCCCCATCGCCGTCCCACTCCAGCGCCTCCCACCCGCGCTGAAGGAAAATAAAATCGTCCAAAAAAGGCGTCGACCACCCCACCGAGGCCCGCACGGCGGAGAAGAAGGCCCCACCGTGAGGGTCCCCATCCCCTGCTCTTTTCTCGCGATGGGCGTCGGTCAGCCAGCGCAGCATCCGCTCCGCCCCGGCCGCATGCGCGAAGAGGACCTTCCCACCCCAATCCCTCCATTCGCCCCGCTTTTCCAGGCCTCGCTCACACCCCGAGGGGGAAAAGAAATATTTGACAGGACGTGGGGGGAAGCCCACCCCGGTGGCCTCCTTTGTCACCTTCCATCTGCAGGGGATAACAGGGTAGCCCTGCGGGAAGCTCGCCTCGAGCGCGTTCATCAACATCACAACAACATCGTTCGCATCATCGGAGTTGTTAATATGGTCATCGCTCCAGAAAAGATGCTCCGCGGCGCGAAAGGCGGGTGCGGGCTTCATAAATCGCACAATCACCCTGTTGGAACTTTCGCAGGGGTGAAATTCCGCACGCGGGAAGGAAGAAAGAGCCGCGCCTTTTTTATTGCTATTGTCGCCTTTGTCCCCTTCTTCGCAGGGCTGTGCGGCGGTAGCTGCGACGAGCCTCCGCGCGAGATCTACTTCAAGCTCCATCAGTTGAGTCTGCAAACGCTCCATGTTTAATTAAATCAACCAGCTGGCTTTTTTCTACTTTACCTTCTTTTTTTTTATTATTCTTGTATACAATTTCTATTTATACATTTTATGTGTGTAGAATTAAGGTTAATTAACCTCAAGAGGGATGCTATTCCTAACAATAGAGGGATCGCAAAGAAGGTAGAGATTCCAAGACAAAACAACAACAACCACAAGGATGCCGCAGGTTCAAAAGAGGGAAAATCCGGTAGATTTATCCCTCCTTTTTTTCGCTCATATAAACTTAACAATAACCCACACATATATATATATACATACACATATACCGAAGGAAACGTTTTCAGAAGTCTCAGCATTCGGATTTCACTCTTCACTACAAAAGTGACGACTATTGCTGATTAAAATGCTAATACACAAAAGAGAGATTCATTTTTTTTAGTCTAACTTGCCATTGTACGATTAACGCGACAAATGAAAGGCAAAACCCATTACTTGCTGTTAATACATCCATGCACTAAGCTGTTTTCCAACACAGGAGGCAACGTAGCGCTCCTTTGATTATAAAAGTGTCTAATATAGTAACTCTCTTAGTATTCAAGCCGAACTGAAACGAATCCAAATGTGGGTCTCATATAACCAAAGAAAAAAATTATGCTACCTCATTGGGACTTAGCATACGTACATTGAGCTCGAATTACAACTAAATTTACACTTAGTTCATAAACTATGACGGTAATAACCAGTTGCGTACCCATCCTATAGAAACAATTCTAAAATAATAGTACTGCGAAAGCAATGAATGCGTAAAATAATAGTAATAAGATTCCGGACTTCTATGGTAATGTAACCGCTAAAACAAACGTTTTTTCCTTTGCATATTCGCATTTTTCTTTCAGCACAGTATAGTTCCTTTTGCATTGCTTGCGAATACGGGAGCCCCTACTGTAAAAGAAAGAAAATCTAGAATCCTGTTCATAAACACGTGAGGTGAGTTAATTGAAATCGTAGCGAAGCACACATTGTGATTATATCTAGCGATTTTTTCCCTGTACTATTTATACATAAAAAATCAAAATAAAAAGAAACATCATGGAAAGTTATTGTTGCATACTCAGGAGCGTATATAATTTTAGATACAATGCCTACGACATCTATCCCCAGGTTATGGGCATAGTATTGAGCAGCATGAAAAAATTCAACATCTAGAGAAGATAGTGAGGGTATGAAAGCAAGGCTTTAAGGAAGAAATAATAAAAACAGTATTCTGAAAGGGGGAATACAAAACCGTGACCAAGTATAAACCTCCCTCCCTCAGAAGAAGATAGACATCATATTTTTGTTTCTAACTGGAGTATTATATTCAAACAATACTCCTTGATGTGCATCAATAGAGAACATTTCCAAAATAGAACAGAAAGTTGCTCTGGATAATGTTTTAATAACATAGCTTATGGCTCACTCATAAGGGAAAATGAAGGAAGGCGAAAATTTGACCTAATTAAAGGAAAAAGTTCCCCCAAATAATAAATTCACGTGCATATTTTTAATATCAAGCGACAAAAGCATGTATTATACAAACACATCTTTAATCTTTTTTATCTTATTGTTTCTTTGCCACAGTTACCACTGGGCGAGGAACAGATAGAGAAAGAAATAAAGACAGAACAACAACAACAAAACAAGTAAAAAAATTTACACAAACATTCTATTCGAAATCATTTATTAAGCAGATTTCTGAGCTTTCCGTCGATACTTTTTAATTTTCTTCTTTCTAGATTAGCCTTCAGTCCTTCTTCATATTTTTCTATTTCCCCTCTATATATACATTGTATTTTACCACCAAGGTGGGGTTTAGACGCTAAAAATGGAGTTGAAGCTAGGTGATGACGTGGCCTTGTTTTTACTTTTTGAGCACCCGCTGAGGTTCTTCCTGAACATTCGAGAGAGGGATATTCATCGTTGGATTCACAGCGGGTACGTTCTCGTGAGAAACTTTTCTTTCTTCATTCTCCTGCGAGTGGGGGTTGAACGGTATATATGATCCCTCGAAGCTTTCCAAAGGAAGACCATTAGTTTTTTCCCCTTTCTTCACAGGAGCTTTTGTCTTCTCGATAATTGAGGTGCTCCTGCTTGATTTTGAATCGGTCTCGTAAGCAACAATTTTTTTTACAGGGGAAGGTGAAGCGACTTCCTCCTTTTTCATCTGAGACTTCTTCTCGATAACTGAGGTGCTCCTGCTTGATTTTGAATCGGTCTCGTAGGCCACAATTTTTTTTACAGGGGAAGGTGTCGCTACTTCCTCCTTTTTCGCAGGAGATGCCTTCAGGCTGACCGAGGCGCTAGTGCTTGATTTTGTATCCTCTTCGAATTCGTCCTCGTATTCCTCAGCCTTTGGTACCGGGGGAGGCGTAGCAGCCTCCTCCGTTTTCATGGGAGACTTCTTCTCGATAACTGAGGTGCTCCTGCTTGATTTTGAATCGGTCTCGTAGGCCACAATTTTTTTTACAGGGGAAGGTGTCGCTACTTCCTCCTTTTTTGTAGGGGATGCCTTCACGCTGACCGATCTGCTTCTGCTTGAATTTGTATCAGACTCGTAGGCCACCATTTTTTTTACAGGGGAAGGTGTTGCTTCCTCCTTTTTTGTAGGGGATGCCTTCACGCTGACGGAGGCGCTCCTGCTTGATTTTGTATCCTCTTCGAATTCGTCCTCGTATTCTTCAGCCTTTTTTACCGGGGAAGGTGCCGCCACCTCCTCCGTTTTCATGGGAGACTTCTTTACGTTGATTGAGGTGTTCTTGCTTGATTTCGTGGAATCTTCGAATTCGTCCTCGTATTCCTCAGCCTTTGGTACCGGGGGAGGCGTAGTAACTTCTTCCTTTTTCGTAGGGGATGCCTTCACGCTGATTGAGCTGCTACTGCTTGATTTTGATTCAGACTCGTAGGCCACAATCGTACTTACAGGGGCAGCCGGAGCAACCTCCTTCTTTTTCGTAGGGGTTGCCTTCACGCTGACGGAGGTGCTAGTGCTCGATTTCGAGTCATTTTCGAATTCGTCCTCGTATTCCTCAGCCTTTGGTACCGGGGGAGGCGTAGTAGCCTCCTCCTTTTTCATGGGAGACCTCTTCACGCTGACCGAAGCACTACTGTTTGAATTTGTATCAGACTCGTAGGCCACAATTCCACTTACAGGGGCAGCCGTAGAAACGTCCTCCTTTTTTGAAGGGGATTCTTTCACGCTGAGTGGGGTACTACTGCTCGATTTCGTGTCCGCATCGAATTCGTCCTCGTATTCATCGGCCCTTATTGCAGGGGAAGACGTAGCAACCTCCTCCTTTTTCGTAGGGGTTGCCTTCACGCTGACGGAGGTGCTAGTGCTCGATTTCGAGTCATTTTCGAATTCGTCCTCGTATTCCTCAGCCTTTGGTACCGGGGGAGGCGTAGTAGCCTCCTCCTTTTTCATGGGAGACTTCTCCACGCTGACCGAGGAGCTCCTGCTTGATTTTGATTCAGACTCGTAGGCCACAATCGTACCTACAGGGGCAGCCGCAGCAACCGCTTCCTCTTTAATGGGAGACCTCTGCTCAATAACTGAGGCGCTACTGCTCGATTTTGTGTCATCCTCGAATTCGTCCTCGTATTCATCGGCCTTTTTTGCAGGGGGAGGCGTAGCATTTTCTTCCTTTTTCATGGGAGACTTCTCCACGCTGACCGAGGAGCTCCTGCTTGATTTTATATCCTCCTCGAATTCGTCCTCGTATTCTTCAGCCTTTTTTACAGGAGAAGGTGCCGCCACCTCCTCCACTTTCATGGGAGACTTCTTCTCGATGACCGAAGTGCTCTTGCTTGATTTTGATTCAGACTCGTAGGCCACAATCGTACCTACAGGGGCAGTCACAGTAACCACCTCCTTTTTCATGGGAGACTTCTTCACGCTGATTGAGGCGCTCTTGCTTGATTTTATATCCTCCTCGAATTCGTCCTCGTATTCTTCAGCCTTTTTTACAGGAGAAGGTGCCGCCACCTCCTCCACTTTCATGGGAGACTTCTTCACTCTGATTGAGGCGCTCTTGCTTGATTTTATATCCTCCTCGAATTCGTCCTCGTACTCTTCAGCCTTTGGTACCGGAGGAGCCGCAGCAACCGCTTCCTTTTTCATGGGCGACTTCTTCACGCTGATCGAGGAGCTCCTGCTTGATTTTATATCCTCCTCGAATTCGTCCTCGTATTCCTCAGCCTTTGGTACCGGGGGCGCCGGAGCGGCTTTCTCCTTTTTCATGGGCGACTTCTTCGCGCCGGGCGAGGCGCTCTTGTTCGACTTCGCCTCCTCCTCGAATTTACCCTTGTCTTTATTCCCATAGACCTTTCGGGGGGGCGATACGGTGGTGGCCTTCTTTTGCTCCTTCGGCGGCTCCCTCGCGGCGCGGGCGGCGAGGCCTCGGGGCCTGGGCGTCCCCCGCCCGGACGACTCCCCGGCGGC